CCTGCCATTTTAACCATCTATTTTGTTCTCTGAAACTGAAACTGTTCTCTGAAAGTTTGCAACTTTTAAAGGCAATGGTCGAAAACCAACCTACTATTGACCAAGTTCTCAACGATTTCGATGACTGGTTGAAAAAGGTGTGTTTTAGTGCTGATTGCTCTTTCACAGCATCAGCATTTTCTACCAAGAAAGTCTTTTCCAAATCTTGAATGGGCGCAGTTCGGCGACGGGGGGCTGGAGAGCATTTTGCACTTTTGTTGCTTCACTAGTTCCGGTTTACAAGTCTCACTCTGGTGAAACCTGTGAACTCTTGTGAAGCTGGAGCAAGCTCGTCAAGCCATCATGGTAAAACCTGTCAACTCGAGAAGAGGCTGTCTCGATGGGAAGTAGCAAAACTGCAAAATGCCCCCCCCTCGCCGATTTGCCCCTCTTGAATGAGTCTTTAATTTTGATATTTCACGCACAGCTTTCCAGGAAGGTGTTCTTGATTCTCGTTTTGCCTTTGTGACATGCGGTGACTGGGACTTGGGTGTAATGTTACCTTCGGAGTCGGCGAACAAACACTTGTCACTTCCAAGGTAAGACTTTTTTAGGCTTAGGGAAATGATTCCCTCTCCTTATAGAATTTCTTTTCACAATAGCTGAGAAATTATTGACCGAGGTGAAAAGTCTCCATGTGACGTATTTCAGCTATTTTGATAAATGGATCAACGTGAAGAAGTCATATTGTGAGCATAGTGGGACATTTGCCAAGGGCCTAAGGGACCTGTTACGGATATACAATTTGCAACATGCTGTGAGTGTTTCGCTGTTTGTTGGGACCAAATTTTCTTCTTGTGGAACTTCTGGTTTATTTGATACGTTTCAATTTCTAGGGACGTCTGCATAGTGGTATAGATGATGTGAAAACCATATGTGCTTTAACGTCAGCCATAGCTAACGAGGGATACGTTTTCAGGTTTTTTTTTACAATTTCTCGATATCCTTGCAACAATTTTCGGCGCATTTCCGGCAAGGGAAGGTGGGGGGGGGCATTTTGCACTTCCGCTGCTTCACTACTTCCGGTTTACAAGTGTCACTGGTGAAACCTGTGAGCTCTTGTGAAGCTGGAGCCTCACCATGGTAAATGTTACTTGTATGCTATTTTATGGCTTTACAAGAGCTCACAGGTGCTCTCTACAAACATTGGCTGGCGTCTTTTCGTGGCTTTGCACGATTTCACAGGTCCCCACTTAATGACCGACACGTCGATGGGAAGTTGCAAAAGTGCTAAATGCCCACCCCCTGTTTTGTGGAACTGCCTTTAGAAGTACGACAGGGGTGAACATCGCTACTTTAGAATCAACGGCTCGAGAACTGACGATTTGGAGCGAAAACGGATTTTCAAAAATGTCTCCGTATAGTTCAATATGAAT